ATCAGCCATCACCAGCATCAGTCATGGAAAAAGGAAAGCTGAGTCCATTGTGATGTCTGAAGGTGGATCAAAGCACTCTTGACCCCTGCTGGCCAAAGCATGTGCTGAAGAAGATCACAATTCATTCATTGCTGCCATCACCTCCAGGCTTGATAACTTCATGCACATGATTGCTGCCCCATTGCCCCTGCCACCACCACCACCCATGACCAATCCCCTTATTGATGCTACCATGGACTACATCAACAACATGCCACAGCTCTTGACAGACAATTGGATTGACATCAGCAACTACTTCCTCAGCATGACCCTGGATGAAGTGAATATTTTCCTCAAGCATCAGGAGCTGGCAAAGCAGATTTGGGTGCAGTGTTGGCTGATGAAGTACTGGGATGGGCAGAGATAGGTGTTTGTTTTCTTTTTTTTTTACAATATACAAATGTACTCCCCCCCCTTTATACAAATATGTACATAATAAAATGTACATGACTATGACTAGCTCCCTTTTGACAATGGAAGTTATTTCTCTGCATGAGTGTGAAACAATTGTAAGAACATATATTTGTACACCATGAAATCTGAATGTTCAGGCTCAGAGAAGGCCCCTAATTGTAAGCTGGTGCTGATAGTCAATCCACATCTCCTCTGCAATGTTGTCACACCTATTATCAGCCCTTCTCCTCTCTGCAGCATCTGCTGGTCCATCACCAAGGCTTCCAATACCATCATCCTCTCCTATGTCCATGGCAAGGTCAGGGTCAAAGAACTCTTCTGGATCATAGTGCCATATGAAATTGTGGAGGGCACAGAGAGCAGCAGGTACTTGAGTTTGGGTGTGGATGCTATATTCAGGGGGAATTTGAAGAATCCTCCACCTGCATTTTATATCACCAAATATCCATTCAATGGCATTTCTAAGTCCAGCATGGCAAAGGTTGAATAACTCCTCTCAGTTTTGAGGTCTATAAGATAGACATTACAGGTACACTGAGCAGGATGGAATAGCAACTTACCTTAATCCAGCCTGGCACCATTCTTTCAGATGGTAACAAACACCTCAATAGGGAACCAGAGGTGCATCACAGGTCCCAAACCTGGCATCTGCAAGAAGGTACTTCCCAGGTGGCATGTGCAAGTCATTCCTGTGTGCATCATGCCACATGGTTGCATCTGCAGTTGTCTCATCAAAGCCAGTGAGGGCATATGTGAAGAAGTCAAAATCACAGATGAAGAGACAGTTTTGAGATAGGTAGCCCTTCCAGTTCCTCATGTAAGGCTGGTCCTCAGCAGCAGTGAATGCTCAAATATGAGTGCCATCAACTGCACCAATACAATCCTGGAAAAATTGGAAATGTGGGTTACTAGTAATCATAGTTGATATGGGAGTGTTGTTGGTGGGGAATTGCACTTGGGATGCATAGAATTGTCCCCCAGAAAAGAAAGCCAACATTGCTTTGAAATATCTAAAAAATTGTGAGAAAAATATCAGACAGTCCAATGAACTCCCTACCTAGTGATGGTCCCTGGTGAGTGTTGGAACCTCTCAGCAACATGCCAGGATGACAACCCAGTAACACAGGTGTAGAGGAATATCCCAAGTTTTTCCTCCACAGAAATTCCATTGCAAGAAGGCACAAAACCATGACAGGTGAGCACCTGCATCAGGTGATCAAAAACCCAATGGCTGATGCCAAGGCAAGTCTGTATCCTGTCTGGATGACCATTCAGGAGCTCTAGCATCCACCCCTCACCAGTCAGGATTGAAGTATGGTAGGGGATTGGTTCAGAGTCAGAATGAAAAAGGAGGTCATAGAGGCATAGCACCTGGATCATCACTGCTACTACAAGTGCAGCAAGATGGTGACAATGATGGTGCTGGAGCTGCTGTGCTTCAAGATCCATAGCAGAGTTGTTTGATCTGTTATCACAATGTTATCTATCAAACTACAAGTTGTGTTGTTGTCTTATATAATCATCATGTGACTACATTGCCAAAGTCAAAGTCAAAAACTTTGACTTTGACTTCAGAGGGTGAACAGCACCTAAGCACCTGTGTACAGCATTGTGGTTTTCAATGTATCTCCACCATTTCTGCAGATACCAACACCATTCCCACACTTGCTTATAGTGCTCAGCCACACATCCTACCTTCCAAAATTGGGAAGGATCTGCACACTCCACACATTTCTGCAGCACTCCCTCCAACCAACACTCATTTTGCTAATTCTTCTGATATGGCCACCTCCACATCAGTCATTTCACTTGTCCCCTTTGCTAGGGACAATGGCTACATATATCTACCAGGCATTCCTACTAGCTTCCATCCTGAAGCATCCTGGTACATCCCATCCCTGTCTGCCCCCTCTCAGCCCATCCAGCTTGGACAGCACATTCTTTGGTTGCCTCAGGTCTCAGTTATAAAGGTCTTATGTGGTTGTTTCAGTCTCTCTGGTCCAAGAAGCATACAGATCCTTCCTCCCTGCTCCCTGCAACATCTTCATACCAATCTTGTCCATCATTCTTCCAAAATTGTGACAGCTACAGTATAATCTACTGTCCTCCACTCTGCCTGATTGCATCCATGATGAGTATGATGCACATCTTGCCTTCTTATTGCAAGATACAGCAGAAGATGCTCCCCCTTCATCCTCTCTTCCAACAGAGTCTCATTCATGAAGTCTTCATTTGCTTCATTGAGAGGACAGTTGGGGGGAAAAGTTGCAATCCCCTATGCTCCTGTCACCCCACAGACCCCCAAAGCTTGACCCCTTTCTGACACCTGATTCACCCTGTCCACTTTTGGATGTACTATATTGGCATCAGATCAGCACTGCCTCTCTGTCATCCCACCTTGGCCTAGAAGTGATCCCTTCAAGAGGTGACATGCACAGCCTCCCCCTAATGTGATTCTTAGTGCACTTAACCAGTTTCTGACCTTGCTTGACTTATATTGTGAAATTCTGACTGTCCCATTGCCAATACTTACCCATCTTTTGCCTCTGCTTACTGATTCTTCACTTTCTGGCTTACTTATCCTTACCATTGCTCACAAATGCATTCTAAGTTGATTACACACCATTTACATTGCTTACTTATCAGTTACCAATCACTTACCAAGTGTTTACACCTTGTTTCCCATAGGCAATGCCCCTGTACTGTATAGAAAGCACTGTACTTAGATAGCTAAAAAAGGAAGACATCAGAGAGTCCCTCTTGCTTGCAATTCATTGTCCCTCAGTAATTCATTCATCAGCTTTGATAGTTGAGACTTTATTAAGGGTCTAGCTATCATCTACTTTGCCTATTGACATCTATCATCAAGTATCTTTGCATCCAGCCCTTCCTGGGCTCAGATTAGCTTGGAGTCATCATCCATCCTTCTGTAGGCTGACAGCAGTCTACCCTATCACTTCCTTTTGCATTCCTGTTCCCCCTTCATCAGAAGCACCCCCAACCCTCAGCATGCATCTTTGAGTGTTGTAGCTCACAACAACCCATCCAAATAAAATGTTCCACCATCTAGGTACTGCATAGGCACACCACCACTCACTTTCATTGTCTTTTGTGTTGGTTTTGGCTGGTTTACACCACTGAACCACACTTTGACTCACAGCAGGGTCCCTCAGGGAAGGGATGGTAATGCCTCAGGATTGTGAAAGGACAAAGGACAGACCAAAGATGACACCCATAACCAAACAACCTCACCCTCACTCCCTGATGAAACCACTCACAGCAGTACTCACACTCAAGAATGAACCCCTTCCCCCTTCCCTCTGCTCAACCCCACCAATCATGCAGCCTATCAGCTGCTCTCTGCCATCACCAGCACAGGGGGTCATGAACAAGGACTACCAGTCCCAGCAAGTGACTTCCTTGACCTGGTGTGGCTGCTTACAAACTCAACAAGGGGGACAAGCTTGACAGGGGGTCACCAGAACAAGACAACTATATACAGATGTTGTCTTTGGGCTACTGAGCATCAGACATAGTCATGGCAATCACTGATAAACTTAGAGTTTGGACCCTGACTGGAGGCCAACCCCTGGTTGATCAACCTCTTGTCAGAGCAATGGAGAGGTCCAGGATGCCATCATTATGGCTACCAGCAACCTGTTTATGGCTCACCAGACCCAGGCTTTCACAGCTCCACCCCTGTTCAAGATCTGCAATCATGTAAAGAAGCCAGGGACCACCATGATGTGGGACAACCTGCCAAGAGAAGAAGAAAAAGCATAGGAGCTGGAGGTTCCAGTTGATAGGCTCAACAAAGGCAAGTTGTTGTTTAAACAAACTGTATTGTTCCTCAATGGCATTATGCCTACCCATGAACATCAAAGTGATTGGAAGGCTCTTCTCCACAACACCGCTTGGGTAGGTTGCAATAATGCCTACTTTAACACTGTCCAAACCACTGCCACCCTCCCATGTGAACCCTTTCTCCCCATCCCCACTGGGCAATGGCAATTCCACTACTATCTCAGTGGATGCATGCATGTCCCTGAAGGCCATCCCCTTTACTCCTTCACATGTTACCAGTGCCACAGACTCAGGCACTGGTCCTGTCATAATGGAGCTGGATCATGCTGGACCCCCACTGCTCATGAGAATTCTCCCCTGTCTCCCTCACCTCCACTCCCTGCATTACTTCACAACATCCCCACATGACATGCTTATCCTCCCCTCCCTTGAGGGTCTGATGTGCTTGAGAGGGTGGTGATGTGACACCTCAAGCCAGCCACTCACCATCTGGAGATTTTTTTGATCCTGCTGCAGGCCCACCAAATTCATCTCAGCTGGAGGAGGGCAAAATAGAGGAGGATGGTGATAAGAACTGATGCTAGATCTCTCTATTGATAAGCATGCACGCTTTTCTGCGGAGTTTTAACTTTAAATCGGAGCTTTAATATCATTATCTACACATCCATTTTCTGGGTCACAGGCTTTTTATGTGGAGTTCAAGTCTCCTGTCGGAGCTTCAATGTTCACCCACAAACTCACAACTCAACTGCACTTGAGTTTGCTCGCATGTTCTTTCCACATTTTAACTTTGAGCCACCTTTGATCCACCCTAATTATTGAAACTGCCAGTGTGTCTATTGTGGGCTCTGTCACTTCCATGCCACTACACATGTTGTGGGTCCTGCCTTCACAGCACCAGAGAAGGCTTGTCTATAATCTGAAACAGGGACCTGCGTTGGGACCCATTGTTGTCCTCATGTGTAGGATTCCATTTCTTGGCCAAACAAATCAAAACCTGACTTGGACTTTGGCATATGTATTAAAGGTCATTGCCCCCCACTGCTGAACTTGTCCAAAGCAGTCGCTGACCAGGCTCTACACTCTTCTTGCTGAACAAACATGTATTTCTTTGGTTTAACTATGGAGAGAACAGTCATGCTGCCACCAACAAAGCCCACCACACCTGACACCCTAACTAGGCCAAAACAGACATCATTAACAGGTTATCACTCAGGAGACCTTGCTCTCAGCAGGATGGCTGTCCTCAATGACCTAGGTGCAATCCCTCAAGTATCATTGGATTATTTCAAGTCTGCTGCCCTGCCACCCCTTCATGCAGAGATCAGCATTGCTGAAATCAAGACTTCGACTTCGCTGGAGGCCTCTCAGGTTTTGTCCCAAGACTCAGGGTGGACTGCGTTTAAGAAGGAGCCAAAGGTTTCAGGTGTATCTGAGGAGCAGGTGTTTGGACCCCTTTCAGCAGTTTTTGAGGCAATTGTCAGTGAGGCTGGCAGAGTCATGCACACCTCAGCAAGGCTTGAGTTTGTGTCACGACCTGCACATTCACCATGCTCCAATCGCTCCAATTCAACTCACCTGGATGCGTACTTGCTGTGAGTGGAGAAGAAGAGTGTTGGCATGCAAGAGGCCAAGAAGAATGAAGCCAAAGGCTCTGATCATGATTCATGGGATGATATTGCTGTTTCATTTGAGTTCAAAAAGGGTGATGGGACTGCTGAGTGCAAAGATGTGAGTGACAGCTATGCTTCTATTCCAGCATCGCTAATTTGGTATGATAGGATGACAAGAAGGTAATATGGAGTCTGCACCATATTATGCATAGCAACCCATGTTGCCATGCAACATTTGGTGTTACCATTGAGAACACACAAATGAGGTTTTGGTTCACTTGCTGGGCAGTCATGCTCATCAGCAAGTCATTCAGTTTCCTTACTGTTAGTGGTCACATTGTCAACTCTATTGCTGTTCATGACTGACTCTCTCAACAGGAGCCAGAAAACCTCATCCACTTCTTCTGTGCCCTTGTGTTTGCAAAAGACCATGAGCTCAGATGGGATCCAACAATCTGGAGAGTGTGTGTCAAGGGTAAAACTCAATACATCATCACTGTGCATTCAGAAAATGGGGGAACCATCAAATACCAAACCATGAATGTCATTTCCAATTTCGGCACTGATGGTGTGATGGGTCTTGGGTCTTGGGTCTTCGAAGTCTATCCTATGCCTCGAGATGGAAAATTGAACATGGAACCTGTCATACTAAAGAATTCTTGGAGAGAGTGTGACTGAGATCATGAGGATAAAATCCTTCAAAAAATATTTGGTGACTTGTGGGAGCTGAAGGGCATTGAGGCAGAGAATGAGGCTAGAAAATATTTTCTCACTGTTGTTGAAGCAGGAGATGTGATTGTGAATGGGACAGTTGATGGCACCACCAGCCTTCTACACACATCTGATCTGCCAGCCGACTGTCCTTCATATGCACTACCTGTCGATGGTAAATGGAAGGCAAAGCCGACCAGGTCCAGCGAAGGACTCCCACCAAGTTTTTCTTGTGTCTAGGGTGCCACCAATCATTCAAAAATCCATCACAGGATCCATTTTCATCTGGTGTTCCAGGAAGTTTGCACACCTATATACAAACTTCAGCACCTCGATACCATGTTTCAAACACTGCAAGATATTCATGAAGGTTTGCTAAGTTATATGATGAGCTTTTGCTGGAGGCTTATATATAATTATCAGCTTTGGAAATTTTGCACAGTGTAGATTGGGTGCACCATGATGTCAGTGCCACAAACTCTTCACATGTGGGTGAGGTGGGGAAGTTAGCTGACCTGGAGTATGCAAAATGTATGAATGCCCCAAACAGACATGAGATCTGCACAGTAAGTCGATATCTCATCCACCCATGCACTTTCAGAGACATGTTAAAGGGAACCATGAATTTCATGGCTTGCGAGGTTGAAGGTCAAACATACCTCTTTAAGCCACCTGGATTTTTCAATGAAGTCTACAGTCCCCCATTCAGGTTCAATCCCCTGCACAATATGGAGTCTTTGTGGTGGATTCAAATGTGCATACTCTATTACCATGTTGACCAACCACACGGCCAATGGTCATCAAAACAGGAGGATTACTCAAAGGACCTCTTTCCCAGACAGCTCAAAGTTCATTTCTATGAGTTTTCCAACAATCTGGACCTCCACATCCTTCCACCCCATTTTAAGCCTGCAGGTCGACAGGTTGCAATGATGCATGGGGAGCTTAAGCTAGCTTACATTGAAAGTGAAAAGTGCTTGCCACAGGAGCCACTGGCCTATGTCGCTCCACTTGAAGGTCTCCACACCATTTTTAGAGAACACCTTGTGACTGCTGTTGAGGACTTTTTATCCTGATGAATAAATGACCAAATCTGGAAGACTCAACCCATGAAACTCAACACAAAAAATGACCCAAGGTTTGAACCTTTTTCAGATCACCACTGACTGTTGACATCATGTTTCTTCCTAGGTGGACTGATCGAACATCATTCAAATGTTGTGACTCTCCAAGCCCATGACACTACTTGAAATATCAATAAATGCTTACTGTACTATCTTGCATATGAATCCTGTTTTCCCACCACTTTCCCTTGTTTAGTAGTCCCTTGCTTGTGCTTAAGGTTCCAGCTCATTGAGTCATCAGAGAAAATGTACTGGTTGACACATCATGATGACCATTCTTAGTAACACCATAGCTGAAGCAAATCATGAGACCAGAAGCAGCAGTAGTGAAGGGTTTGCTAGAGACAATGGATAGACACAAGAGTATGTCATGGTTCGAGAGAAACTGGTAGATTGTAAAACAGAGAGCAGAAAGACTACCATTTATCAAGGTGTGGGGTGAGCTTCCAAATCCTCTACACACACAAGATTGGAAAACTGTGGTGACCAGATCCCTGAGGTGCTGGGCATGGGATGCACCTTTGCTGGCTCATGTGTTGCAAAAAAGTAGAGTGCCATGACAATCCTGGTGGCTTGTTATGCAACTGAGATGCCTGATTCAATGGCATAACAATGTCAATGTAAAGATATCTTATCTTGTCTTATCATATCAATGCCATAACAATACTCCATTCGGTATTTGGATGTGTACCTTAAGCCCAATGAATCATTGCGAGTGCATGTGATATGATCATTATTGATTTTCTGATCTAACTTATCAATTACATATCATAATATTATGGGTCATTTCGGACCCAAATCAGCTTTGCCCATTGCCTTCCATCCACCATGCCCCCACATCAAAATTACCAGCAGTCAAAAATGTCATCCACTAAGCAACCTTGCAAGCACTGCAGTAATCTCTATCTACCACAAGGAATCAAAAAGCATGAGACCAGTTGTGTGAAGGAGCATGTGAACTGCAAAGAATGAGACAAACACAATAAGGCATACATATGAGATGTTTGTTGAAGTAAGTCAATACCTTTCCCCCCTCTCATCTGTCCATTAATCTACAATGGTTGTTTACTAGCTGAAATTGCCAAGGAAGCAGTTGCAGCTACATCTGCATCATTAGTGCACCCTGGCATCACTGGGTCTTTGGGCTCTGCAGTGGCTGTAATACCAGTGCCACTCAGGCAGCTGTCAGTGGGCCCTTCACAATCAATTCCTGGTACATAGACCACCTTAGTGTTGCTCTTGATGCTTACACTTTGCAAGACAGGATCACCAACTGGCTTTGCTCTCAATGAACATGACATGTTGATGGGTATGATGAGTCCTTGTGGTAGGAATATACCAGACTCAGGTAAGTTTGGAATGTTCATCTCTAACTGAAATTCAACTCATCTCCTGTTGTTTGTGATGAATCTTGATTCTGACATGTCAATTGCAGCCCAAGTGGTGGGTCACTCAGTGAACTCCACTGTGCTGGATGTCCGAAACAACCATTGTCCTGAATTCAAGACTGGATTTCATCCCCATAGCAAGTGCCCAACACTTTTCCAATCTGCTGAAAATTTTGGCCAGCAAAACCTCAAATACATGGCCCCAGACTGTGAGCCCTGGTGCCCTTTTGCTTCAGAGGGTGATTACATTTTTGCTACTGTTGCCATTGAAGCTGGGCTTAGCTCAACTCAGGTCAATTCCCTTCTCAAGTCGATTCATTGTATATGGCAAGGAACAGCAAGCATCACACTGCATAATGATGCTGGGCTTTGCACCACTTTGGATAGAATGGTGGCACAACTAACACCAGCAAGTTGTTTATTTCCAGTGTGCTTTTGACAAGTGGCTCACTTCCCAGCCACTTGTCAGTTCTTGAAGTTTGAAATTGCTGTGCCCTATAAGGGCAGTGACATGACATTCCCCATCCACATCTGCCCTCTGTGGGACTTGGCCCTCAATTTATTGCAAAATCCTTTTCTTGAACCACACTTTGTCTGGGATGCTGAACAGGTCTTCAAACTTGATGGTGAGATGTATGAATGCTTCTACACTGAACCTTGGATGGGCAATCATTGGTGGGATATTCAAGTGCATTGTAATTAATATTATTTCATACCATTGTACTGTGTAAATTCACTGTGTTTCTTCCTGTTATGCAAATGAAGTCACGGTTACCCATGCATGCAGAGAATTCTGTTCCATTTGCATTTATTCTTTATGCTGACAAGACACAGCTGTCATCTCATGGTACTGTCAAGGGTTACCCCATGGTAGTGAGTTGTGCCAACCTCCCAGTTCACATTTGCAATGGTGAACAATACAGTGGTGGCTGTGTGGTAGGCTGGCTTCCAATTGTGAGTATAATATCTCTTTGTTTTAGAGTAATAAATTGATTGAACAGGTTTTTGCAGGTTCCTGAGCTTGTGAGTGAGGAGAGAAAGACTGGCTATGTAAATTTCAAGTGTGTCATCTGGCATGAAGCCTTCTATAAGCTCCTTGAGAAGGTTGCGGAGCTCTCAAAGGTTGGCTACCTGCATGAATGCTATGACAACATTTGCCAGTGACTCTTTCCAGTTATTCTTATCTTGTCAGCTGACTATGAAGAACTGTAAGCACTATTTTGTCTGCAAATCAATTGTACTTATGAAACCCAGCCATGCAGTTGCTCCCTGACAGCCTTACCAGTAATAACAGTAATATCACAATGTGATAGGATGTAATAGCATGGTGTACAAAGAATTGCATATCACAAACTGATCACATTCATTCTGATGCTGGCCCTCCAACATCTGGGTTTGATTGTACTGACCCTACCAGTATACAACCAAATCAGTTTGAATGAAGTAATACACAACAACAGGGATCACTTACCCAAAGTATTGCCTTGAGTTTTGGCTGACATCTGGTCAGAGTCAGAACTTGAATCCTGTTTGGCTGCTACTGGCACTCAGCACCAAGTATGAGTCCATCTCTTCATGCGAAGGAACATGTCACCATCAGTATGCTCAATGACTAAAAACTTGCTTTGGTGGCTTGGATCCAGGTAAAGCAATTTGCCCCAAATGATTGACTTTATGGGAATGAATATCAATGCTGCACAGGATATGGCTTTGACTTGGGTAAGTCAGAAATATTGGTCCAACCTGCGCACTCTGGTCCCAGCCATGAGTGGCTGAATGAGTGCAAACTGAAAAACATCCTCAAATGCTGCAATTTTGCAAGTGAACATGAATATGAATTGAACAAAGGCAGCCTTGGTCTCCGAAAGTTGAATGAGAGCACAATCGTATTGTGGCCAACCATGGAAACTTGGACTACATCTGATGTGGTTCACAGTGACCTTCCAGTCCACCACTGAAGTGTAGCTAACCTTCAAATACTGATACTCCCAGACCTTGAGGGGAATGCCAGGGGATCAGTCTGTATACAGATGAGGAAGTAGGACATACTGTATCTGTTCCTTGTAATCACATCCATGCATTGAGGGGGTACCCATAAGTGGGGAGGCAAGCATTGAGGAAATTTTCCAGCCTCTGACAGAATCTCTCAAATGCCTGATCATCCCAGTGAGTGTTCTCAACATCAGAAAGCGAGCTAGGTTGCTGGGGTGCACTGAGCCTGGTGTTTCCTTCAAATGGCTCATTGTTGTCCTTGTTGTCATTTCTGTCACCATCATCAGTGAAATGAGTAACACATTTGTTTCCTGCATCAATTCATGCTTGAATGAGTTTTATTGCAAATCAATGATGGTCAATACAGAGAATCTAAATGAAACATCATGCAACAACATCTCTAAGTAAGGACTTGATATGCACCTGCCCTGCAACATCCTTTCCATTAGAACAATCCTGGTATGCATCTTTGAGCAGACCATGCATCTTCTCATTTGGCCAAGCACTGTAATTATGAACAGTGCCTTTTCTCTGAATGTCATGGGTAACATGCTTCCAGAGGTGTGCCTTGGGAAAGTTCCAATTGTCCTTGAGGCCTGTATCATGCAAATGATGAACACAGGATTGGTACACCTATTTTCAACAATCATTGTGTGATAATGACCAACCGAAGGAGTGGAATACCTTGAGTTCACCACTGAAAATGGGAAGTTCATGTTCAATCATTCCAAGGGTTGCCTCAGTGTGTATGTCAAGCCTGATGAGAGTTTCAAGCTGTAGGTAACTGCAGATCATATGCAGCAACTGGTACCCAGCTTGAGATGTTGTGGACATCAAAATGTTGAGAGCAGCATAGAAACACTGCTATTCCAGATTGTTAGCCACATTTAAACACACATCCTAATTAGATTACCCTGGTGAGATCTCACATTTTGTTTCTGTCAGAAAATGTGATGTGGATCACAGTATCAAAATGTGTGAGGCCTCACCAATGCGGAAAGGCAGAAACCCTGAGTGATAGTCAGACAGCCCCACAGCCCAATTGAATTGTCATACCATTCTTCTAAACATGTCTCAAAATCATGGCCAAGTTCATTGGCAACAATCTTGAGCTCCTCATGCATGTGCTTGCCTCCCAAGCTGCCATGCAGGGAGTGAAGTGGCTCAAAGCTTGCAGCCTGTTCAGGCTCTGAGTGTTCTACCAACCAAAAAATGTTCTATCATACATTCTGTCAGTCATAAACATAGATTATGCATGTCAAAGCCCTACCTTGATGGGATGTAACCCAAGAGATTTCAGTTTCTTCTCACTGGCTGACTTCTTCTGCTCATATAACACCAGCACTTCTTGATGTTGCTTGGTAGTGTGCATTTCATAGGTCTTCAATAAGTCCCAAAACTCCTCAAAAGGGACTAGGCAAAATGGGCATGGGAATGTGCATTTCGTGCCTTGTATAAGCATCATCACACAGCTAAAAAGGCATTTCAGTGACAGAACACCCATTGAAATGATTCCTGAAGATGTGCTGCACATTGCTGGTGTCATGAGTAAATGTTTCTTGTTGTCATCTCACTGACATGCATTTTACATCACCCAGCAGCTCTCTTCTCAGAGTCAGGGTGGGCTTGAAAGCTTTTAAGGAGGCTTGCAATGTAAAACAGACCCAGGCTGAGTAGTGATGTTTTTGTCCTCTTGTCAACTTTGGCTCAAATTGTCATCAAGTTCTCTTTTGTAGGCATGCCTGAGGACTCTACAGATGCCCTTCATAACATTGGTTCAGATTCTTCAGGTGCTGACTCATGCTTAGACCACTCTGACAATGACAAGACCCCTGACCTTGAGGAGCTTTGAGAATGGCATAGAATCATGTGCAAACCACCTCTGGATGCTAGTGCTCCCCAGCTACACAGTGTATATCCCTTTTCTTTATCATTCATTCAGTTTTGACACAGTTATCACTTACACTATGGTAACAGGCACTCAGTGCCACTCAGCTGGCATACTTGAAGCTTCACATTCAGATGAAGAAGCTACAAATCAACTACAACAGTCTACTCTCCACCCTCCCACAGAGCTGCAAGAAAGCTGTAGAGAACAATCCAAATACCATATTGGACAACAACATTGTCACCAAGGCAAAAAAGTATTGTTTCTTCTATCATTTCTGGGTCCCTAAAGATGTTTTCCCACTCATCACTCTGCCACCTGGATACAATCTGACTGACCCTGCTCACTGGAGTATGCCTGAATCAAAAATTGCAGGCTTCAAAGTGGAACTTTATTTCATGCTACCCAGTGACCTCAAGGTCTGTGCAACAACATATGGTAACTCTGGCCATGTGGTAAGTCAACATTCCCAATCCATAATTTGAAGGCTGGTGTTGATCCCCTTTTAGTTTTCAAATGCAGTTGGGGCTGAGAGGCCCAACATCCTCAAATCTGTTAAGGATAATGTGCAGCAACTCTTTGCACACTTGGAACTTAGTGCCAACTTATTCGCAAATGAGAATTCAAGAGCTCCATGTGGATCAAACAAGACTGTGAGAGTGCTGCTGAAGATGCACCCAGGGAATGTGGATGCTCACTATACCCCTCTCTCACCAATCCTCTTTCCCAAACCAGATGCCTTGGTGGCCAGGGATTTATTCAAAACCCCACTCCTGGTTAGTGTAAGTTTTCTTCACTACTTACAACTATATATATGCTAATTACTTCTAGAAAATCATCTGGGTCATGGTTTTTGGCAAGGGAGTCCTGACCGGCAAGTGAAGGGGTGGTCCACAGGGACAAGGTCAGAAGTTGAGGATATCCAGCCCTTTGGCTGGCCTGATTGCCATCACTTCTACCTTTGTAAGTCTTGCATCACCTTTTTCTTCTGGTCTGGATATTCTGACAAATGTATAACAGGCATGGTACTTATTATTGAGTGACTGTGAGCTTATGACTATTGGTGAAGAAAGTAGATTCAAGTATCAGGATGACTTCAAGTATTTTATCAAGCTATTGAGTCACCATCAAAATGGGAGTGGTCATTGGAAGTGATGGAGTTTTTCAATCAGGGCATATGGAACACCTCAAGTATTGCCTCTGCTAATGCAGCATTGGGCTCATCCAATGACACTTCAGTAGCTTCCACATGGGAGTCTGACATCTTGGCACAGTTGAATGGCCCCTGGCAGCTGACACCTCCTCCTGACCTACACTTTGACAGACTCAACTCAACCTCTATTTCATGTCACATGCCAGAAGCAACCCACAGGCATGCTGCAGACTCAGTTGTCATTTCTCAGGCAAACTTGGTCTCCTCAGCACTTTCAGTTGACATATCAAATCTTTCACTCAGAGGCAGTCATACATCAGCTCTACCATCTGTATCTAGTCATGGAAAGGAGTTATCTGCCAGAAGAAGTCATTCTGGCTTGAGGATGGCTGAAGTTTCAGCAGCTGCACCAGTGAATGCCTGGGAACTGCCTGCAAAGGAACATCATGTCATGCAGTGCAAGGGAAAGGGTAAGTAGTTACAGTGGCTCAAAAAACTGACCACATGTTTGTATGTTTTACATTAGTTATGACTAAATGCAATAACCCCTAACCATAGCCCTAAACCATGAGTGTATGAAATAGGGTACTTACTCTTGGCTTTCTATTGGTCCATGAATCAAGTGATTTGGATAGGAATTGATAGAACAGCAGCCATTTGAGAATGACATGTCATGCAGTCAGTTTTTTGACTTTAAGTTTTGATTACATAGTTTTGAGTTTCACAAAGTTTAAAATGCTGTGAGGTGCTTACTAATGCTTACATGGTATATCACATGGTCTATTTGATGATTTGTCATCATACAAACAATGCCAAACAATGAATTGGGACCATCAAGGCTTCCTCTTCTACCCCAACTCATGAAACCATCCTCCTGGTCCATGTGGGCCATTTTCTCAGAGTAATCCCTATAACTATTGGTGCCTACTACAGTAATGTCATCAGGGTATATGCCCAACACAATCAAACCCTTAAAAAATCTGCTTTCAGTCATCCCTGTGCTGTTTCCCCCACCCATACCTGACATGTTCTGCAACTAATCAGTACTGAGAATGCTGAAAAAGCCATGATGGTTAATCTGGCACTCAAAAACATGACCAACAATCCAATCACCTCTTATCTGGTGGGTTTCCACCTCAAGGGTGCTGGGTTGAGGGCTAGGGTGAGCTGAAAACCTTCATTACAGTCCAGGTGCCCTGGGGGGGATAGTCCACTGAACTGCTAGGAAGGAGATTCCATCAATCCATCTAGGCCTGGGTATTACCTATGGTCTCATATGACCAAATCACCCATTCCCAGTCATCTGCAGTCAGCTGAGAGCACAGTCTAGCCATGCTTCCCATGCCACCTGAAGTGCACAGGAATGTTTTGTCTCACCCCAGCATTGAAACTAATTGTACTGTGGTGAAAATGTACTGGTTAAAAGGTGTTTTGTTTGTTCATCTTTTTCTGATGTGCCAGATTGACCTCCATGGCATTTCTAGCTGTCTCAGTACTGATTAGGTGCAGAACATATCAGGTATGGGTGGGGGAAACAGCACAGGGATGACTGAAAGCAGATTTTTTAAGGGTTTGATTGTGTTGGACATATACCCTGATGACATTACTGTAGTGGGCACCAATATTTATGGGGATTACTCTGAGAAAATGGCCCACATGGACAAGGAGGATGGTTTCATGGGTTGGGGTAGAAGAGGGAGCCTTGATGGTCCCAATTCATTATTTGGCATTGTTTGTATGATAACAAATCATCAAATAGACTAGGTGATATACCATGTAAGCATCAGTAAGCACCTCACAGCATTTTAAACTTTGTTAAACTCAAAACTATGTAATCAAAACTTAAAGTCAAAAAACTGACTGCATGACATGTCATTTTCAAATGGCTGCTATTCTATCAATTCCTATCCAAATCCTATCCCCAGTGTTTGCACCATCTTCATATGCTAAACCTCATGTGTCAGACATCATCTGACCACCCTTGATCCCCCAAGGTAGCCATGGCACCCATACAAGCTTGCCTTCCTGCAATCTGGCTGGTTCTACACAACAAATAAAGGAGTGTCTGCTAACAACCTGAGACACATCACTTACACTGTGCTTTACAGCCTGCTGCATCTTGCTATTTCAACTGTTTTTCATGCCCTCACTCTGCACACTCATTCTGTTGTCCAGCCACATCATCAGTCCCATCATACAGTTGTCATTACCATGACAGACAATGCCTCTCATAGACTTGGCCTCCACATTGATGGGAAGTACAGGCTCAGTAAGAAGATAGGCTCAGACACATTTGGTAGGCAGAGTCATTATGTGCTCAAATGTATTCCTACCCTTACCACTCCCCAGGTGACATCTACCTCAGAATTGACATCACCTCCAGCAAAGAAGTTGCCATTAAGCTTGAGCCTGTCAAAGCAAAGCACCCTCAGTTGGAATATGAGTCCAAAGTTTACAAGACTCTGGCTGGCAGTGTCAGTGTTCCATTTGTCAGGTGGTTCAGCACAGAGTGTGACTACAACATGATGGTCTTGGACTTGCTTGGTCCATCCCTTGAGGACCTCTTCAACTTTTGCAGCCACAAGTTTAGCCTAAGACCATGCTGTCGCTAGCTGACCAGTTGGTTTGTAAATACATTTTGATCTTTCTCCCATTTAATTTACATCCCCACATCTCTCATATTGAGTATATTCATTCTTGTAATTTTATCCACCATGACATCGAGCCTGACAACTTCTTGACAGGAATTGGGAAACAAGGCAACCAAGTCAACATTATTGACTTTGGTCTTGCAAAGAAGTACCATGACCCCAAGACTCATCTGCACATCTTGTATAGGGAGAACGAGAACCTCACAGGGACCACTCATTATACCTCAATCAACACTCACTTAGTCATTGAACAGGCCCACCATGATGACTTGGAGTCCCATTCTCACATGCTCTGGTATTTCCTCCATGGTGCACTTCCCTGGCAGGGCCTCAAGGCTGCCACCAAGAAGCAGAAGTATGATTGGATCATGGAGAAGGACATGACTACCCCCATGGACCTGCTGTGCTGCAACTTCCCTAATGAATTTGGCATATTCCTCAATTACACTCGAGCACTGTGGTTCAACAACAAGCCTGACTACTCCTACCTTTGCAAGCTCTTCCATGACCTCTTCATTCACAAGGGCTTCCAGTGTGACTACATCTTCGACTGGAGCATTCAGTGCCATGCTCCTGAGAACAGTAGTACTGGCACAAGTCAGAAGGCAAGCGCTGGCAGAAGAAAAGTGGTCTAAGAGGAAGAAGACCACTGTGCCAGTGACAGGATGTAAGTGCCACACCCATTCCCTTTGTTATTGTTTCACTCTCTAAATCATTGCTAGGCTTCATTCACAGACCAATCAGCTGCAAGCCAATGCTGCCAGCACTGTAGGCCAACAATGTGGAGCAACTCATGGAAGGGAAGGTGATATTTGGTGAAGGGCATGTTCATACTTTTTGATTTGTGCAGGGCATGCCCTGGGTGCAACTGAGATTGCAGTTGGAGGGAAGTGGTAAGGTTGCTCAGTTGCAATTGGTCAAAGTTTGCAGTTGGGACGGAGGACCTGGTGGGTCATTCTGTGGTGGAATTGGGTCACTGTAGTGCACCTCCCACCCTTGCAGCTGGCCCAATGTGTTACTCATTCTTGGTGATGGTTCAGCACCTCAAGCCTTGTCAAACCTACAGTTCTGTTCAATGTCCACTATTGATTCATCCATTCCACAGTACAATGAAATTGCCATTGCATCTGAATTGATCATTTTTGTATAGTATGGATGCTCTTTTCTTTCAAGCTACCCTGATCTCCCTCTGTGGAATGGCATGGATGGCCATCTATTCCATTCTCGCTTTGCCAGACTTATTCCCTTCAGTGCTGTCCTCATACAACATATACTACTATATTTGCTTCTTCATGTGCCTTCCATGACCATATACACTCTTTTTCATTCACCCCTGCTTTCCATTGTGTGGTTTATTTTTCATGCATTTGTTGTCTTTCTGTCTTCTCCCCTCACTGGGATAGTCTTTCTGGTGGAGGCAAGTAGGCAGAAGAGGGTGCCAAGTCAAGGTAGTGGTGGGAGATATGATTAGTTTTATGAAAGAATGAACTCATGTTTGATACACCCTACTCACAACTTCGTAGGGTGGTAGAACATTGCATACATATGGCCTAACAGACTTGAAATGCCAATCCAGAGCTCTGATTATCATTGACTGTCATGTCAGTATCCAGATGAGGATTACCTTTTTGGGATAATTATGCCTTGCAGTTATAATGTGTGTGGTGTCAGGACTTGAATATGTTTTCCCTTCAACCACCACTGTTGTTACATGTCAATGTCCAATCTCACACCTAATGCAACAGTTACCATTCAATGCAGCATTGTTGTCTGACTTCGACAATAAAGACAGGTGAGTGATCAATGAATGTGCTCACTACTCACACAAACCATTTGATTCCAGGACAAGTATTGTAGTCGACTGTTGTATCATATTGATCCTATATGGTGCTAACTGATGGCACCCCACACAACCAGCTTCCTAACTGTCTTGTCAACAGTTGGGATTCCTCTGTTCTGCAAGCAGCTTCATCACTTGATGTACATTTAGGCATCACATCTGTGGGTCGCCCCTGGCTCAGACTTGTTTCTTCCCTCTGACCATCACTGGCCATGCAGCATGCTCCAGACTTGTCACTGTCTCATTCACAATTGTCTGGGTACCTCCAACTCACTATCCTGTTCCCCCAACTGCCAACCATACAATGTGCACCTGGACTCATTGCTGTCCTCTTCCCCTGCCTATAATCACCCTGGACCTGTCACTATTCCTTCCTCCCAGTTCATGACCATGCAACATCCTCACAGACTTGTTATCTGCTTCCCTCACTGCTGACTATGCCACATGTCCCTGCAGTCATTCCTGTCCTCTCTTCCCCTGGTTCCTCACCATGCACCATGCCCCCTGTATTCACTATCCCTTTCTTCCAGCTGCCAATCATGCTGCATGCCTGGACTTTCTATACCCTTCCCTGCTGACAATGCAGTTACCTTTGCATTTCCTCATTTCCCTCTTCTCTGTCCTATGGCATCAGTACATGGACCTATCCTAGCAGTGCACTCATTGTCATTGTGCACTGTACAGAACACCTTGCATCTTTTCTATGAATGGAATCCCTTTTTCCCTGGTTGCCATCCTACCCTAAGCCAGGCAGCCTGGTGCTGCCACCCCACCCCACCTAGTTCCCTTGGAATGCATTCAGTAATGTATTATGAAACATCATCCATTACCTGATCTAATCCAGACTTGGATACATCAGAGTGGGTTGAGTGGAAGATACCTACAAAACTGCATAACTAGTTACTACTGGTGGTAGAATAGTAGTATGGATGGGGTCATAACAACAAATCTGAAAGACACTACAATAAAAATACTATTGCAATATGGATTGTGGATGTTACAGTGAAGATAATAGCATTACACTAATTATAGGAGTGTTGTATTGGATTCTGCCCCATTGACATGCTTGGCAATGGCTTACAATAGCATTGTAATGCATCTGGCCATTGTCAGGCACTCCAATCAGCAGTCAATGACTGACAATAGCATTCCAATCACGTGTTCCTGGCTTGTGGCAACTGGCCATTGTCAGGCAATCCAATCAGCAACCCCCAGATTACAATGCCATGCCAATGAAAACTTTACCCATTGGCTGGGCACTAACATACATCATTCATTGTAATTACATACAGTCACATGTAATGGCTGTAATTTTTTTCTAACATGGTACTCCTGTTATGATAAATCTTTCCCTAACCATTTTGCATAGTTTTATACAGGAGTGCACTTAGGCTAACCAGCAGTCACCAACTATGGAGAAAGAAGTGAGTAAGTGATCCTGCTACCAAAGAAGCTCACTAGCTGAAATCCTAAGCAAATCAAAACAGATGTCATTGGCAGATTACTGCTCAGGGGATCTCACTTTTGGTAGGACAACTGTCCCTAGTGGCCTAGGTGAAGACCTCAAGGTATCACTTGATTATTACAGGTCTGCTGCACCACCACCCCTTCATGGGCAGGTTGACATTGCCAAAATCTAGATTTTGCTGGAGGGTGCTCACATTTCATCCTGAGATTTGGGTGGACTGCATTTAAGGTGTCAAGTATAGGTTTACCCTCAGGTGACTGGGTTTCAAGGCTGAGTGACAGGGGCTAAGTCTGGTTGACAGGGGTCAAGGCAGGGAGACAGGGACTAAGTCTGGTTGGACTGGAGTTGAGGTCAGGAGTTAGGGACCAAGTCCAGAGGTCTGGAGTCAAGGCAAGGGCTGTGGGAACCTGACTGGTCCCAGAGTGTGCACAGAGGGCAGCCAGTCTGGGGTTGGATCTACCTCCCTTGGTCTCAGCTTATGTGCTGTACCATTATGCAAGCTGGGGAGAGGTCCAGGACAGGGGCCAGGGATAGCTTAAGGCTCAGCTTTAGCTATTGAGTAGACTCAGAGGGTGATACAGAACTGAGGGTAATACTTTGTTGATATGCTGACTGAGGTGCTATGAAGTATGTACAGGGTTTATGTCATAGCCATGCCTTGACCCTGGCTGAACTTGGCCTCTCCAAATGCTTACCTCCAGTTGGTCTAGTGCAGTTAGCACTGCTTTGCAGTGCATGTCATTTTGGTTGAGCCCAACCCAGCCTCATCCCCAGTCCACCCTTGTCTCTGCCCCAGTCTCCAGTTGTCTTGGTCATACATTACCAATACTATTCTTACCAATCATATTAGCAATCTTTGTGAGACCAGCATTACCAGTCTCCATACTATATAGTCTGTTTCCTGACACATAGTGTAGTCACACTTAGTCACAACACATGGGCAGCCTGTGCAGCAAAACACCAACACATATATAGACCCCAAGATGGGCCTGCCTAAATAGATTAGCTAGTCCACATGGACAGGCCCAAGGAACTAAAGTGAGAGCAACATATGTGCAGGCCTGTAAGTGCATTACCACAACATATGGGAGGGTCCATGGTGGGTAAGGATGTTGAAACATTTAGACAGGCCTGTGACCAATTAAGTATACTGAGCTGCTGTAAGACATGGATGGGCCTGTCCTGGTAGGTTACACCCCTGTTGCAACATTAAGGTGGGCCCACCTATCATAACATGGAGAGGGTCACAACATAAGGATGGGCCTGTCTATGATTAGAATACACACTTGGCAACATATAAACAGGCCTGGGAGTAATATCATTTATGTTGTTGCAACATATAGACAGGCCCATTCATAATAAGCCATACCCCTGTTGCAACATAAAGACAGGCCCATCACTAATATCATTTAATAGAGTCACAACATATGGATGGGCCCTTCAGTAGTATTATTTATATTGTCACAGCATATGGACAGGCCCATCCAAAGTAAGATGTACCTCTGAAGAAACATAAAGATAGGCCTGTCAGTAATCTCATATATAGCATCACAACATATGGACAGGCCCTTCAGTAGTATTATTTATATTGTCAAAACATATGGGCAGGCCTGGCCCCAGTAAGATGTACCCTGTTGAAACATAAAGACAGGCCCATCCACAGTAAGATGTACCTCTGATGAAACATAAAGACAGGCCCATCAGTAATGTTGTTTAATAGTGTCACAACAAATACTGAAGGTTCAAATGATCCATCCAGATCTCAAACTGGTATGGAGTGGCTTTGAGGTAGTGACACCATGTCTCAAGAGCATGGATTATGGCCAACATCTCCTTATCAAACAGCTGGTAGTTACATTTGGGGGGGGGACATAGAATGGGAGTAGAAAACAATGGGTCACCAGAGGTCATCCTCACATTTCACAGAGAGGAAAGTGCTGGTAGCAAAGCCTGAAGCATCAGTTTCAAGGCAGAACTCCCTATCCTGATCAGGGAAGGCAAGCACAGGGGCAGTGGTAAACACAACCTTTAGAATATAAAAGGCTTGTTGCTCCCAAGGACCCCAGGTCCAGAGTTTGTCTTTCCTGGTGAGGTCATTAAGGGGGCAGGCTATCTGAGCAGGTCCTTGATGAAGTGACAATAAAAGTTTGCCAAGCCTAAGAAGGCTCAGACTGAGTGGACCTTTGTTTGCATCAGCCATTCTGTTATAGCCTTAACCTTCCCCTTGTCCATCTTGACTCCATCAATGCCCACCACCATGCCCAAGAACTCTACCTGCTTTTGTTTGAAGAAGCACTTCTCTGGTTTGACAAAGAGATCATTTTCCTCCAACCTTCTCAAGACCTTTAGGATGATTTTGTCATGTTCAGTTTCATTGTCTGTTCTCATGAAAGATCATGAGATCATTGATATAAACCACCAGGATGTCCTCCATGTCACCAAAGATGTCATTCATCATGTTCTGGAAGTTGGACAGTGAATTGCAAAGGCCAAAGTACATGACCAGTGTGG